GGGAGAAAGAGAAGGAAGAGAAGGGAGAAAGAGAAGGAAGAGAAGGGAGAAAGAGAGAAGGAAGAGAAGGGAGAAAGAGAGAAGGAAGAGAAGGGAGAAAGAGAGAAGGAAGAGAAGGGAGAAAGAGAGAAGGAAGAGAAGGGAGAAAGAGAGAAGGAAGAGAAGGGAGAAAGAAGGAAGAGAAGGGAGAAAGAGAGAAGGAAGAGAAGGGAGAAAGAAAGAAGAAAAGGAGAAAAAACACAGCCGGCTCAAGGAGTCTGGTCCTCAGTGACTGATCTGGCAAAGGCTTTCTTATCTTGGGGAGGAGCCCACCGCAGTCTGCCTTCATGCAGGAAGGATCTCGCTTTTTGTTTGCTATGCTGCCTTTGGTTATCTGAACTCACCAGCTACTGTCAATAATGTGGTCAGGAGGGATTCATCCTTGACGCAGGTGTCGAGAGTAATAATATGCTGCATTAATGACCTTATGACAGACTGGAAAAATGAAGATCAGGCTGGGGCTGATTTGAATGGGATGACAATGCCCATGACCAACTGGTTCTGGTTGATAAATCCAGGTCCAAGGGTCTCAAGCGGTGAAATTTGCAGGAATAACCTGGGCAGGGGCCACTCAGAATATCATGCCAGCAACTAAAAATAGCCATCACTGCCCATCCCTGGGACCAAACAGGATGCTAGTGTTTGGTTAGTTCATTGGATTTTGGAAAATGTGTACTCCATATCTGGGAATTTTGCTAACTCCCATCTCTAAGACTACCCACAAGAAAACTGTATTTGGGCGGGCCCCTGAACAAAACCGGCCATGTCTGAATCACAGAAGGTGGGCGCTTTCTCAGAGCCTTTGGACCCTTGTGATCCCCAGGCTCATGGGACTGTGGAATCGTCTGCCACGTGTACTCCTGCAGACTGGGGCTTAGGGCAAAAGCCCATGAGCACCTCGGTAGAGAGCAAGGTGGAGTCCGTCAGGTCAAGCAGGGACACAAGCAGCCCAAGGGCACTGGACCCATGGCCAGATACCACCGAAGCCAGCACAGACTGGGAGGACTAAGGACTGCTAACCCGTGAGGCCATGTGAACCTGGAAGAACCGCGAGAGCATGATCACTGGCACCAGGAGACCTGCAGAGGCCCAAGGCTGATGACACCTCTTTAAAAAGGGAGGACGCTGACCGTTTCATGTCCGACCACATTAGAAAGGCCGCTGTCACCGAAGGCTCTGCCCAATGGACCTCTGAACATAACCGAGCTGCTCCACTGTTGAAGGAAATAAGCAGTGAGTGTCCAGAGCTGGACTCGGACCACTCGAGGGGGCCTCATCTCAGCCTCTGGTGCTCGGACCGATTTCATGTCGGTTTCATTAACTTCCTACCCCTGGTTGTATCTTTATGGTGTGACTTTGTGTTTTTGGACTTTGCTTTGTGGGGCACATAGGAAGCCAAGCTGTGATTTGATAGCGTGCTCGAGACAGCCTCCCAGCAGTGACTGGGGGGTTTTGGACCAGAAAGTTCCCAGTTAGAGGATGTTGCTGGCCGGCGTACACCATTTGAGCGACAATTATTAGCCTGCTATTGGGCACTGATTGAGAGGGTTTCCAGGATGTAAAATAATCGTGAAAACTGAGATACTCCTAATGTTTTGAGTGATGTCAGAGAAACAGTCTAGTAAGGAAGGCCGTGCCCAGGAGAGTTCCAGAATAACGTGGATGGGCCTCTAGGAACAGCTCTCATCTGGCCAACAAAGAGCTGCTTGGTTTACGATGGGCAGTTTCATGATGAATGGACAACATCCTGTTCGGAAAGCTGCTTGCAGTCGAGATCAGCGCAGTGGCCAAAGCTAATGTCCCTTCCAGAGGGGGAGGAATTGGGGGATAAATGGAGAGAAGGAAAAAATACTAGCTATGGGTAAAGGATTGAATACATGGGTTATGTGATGGGAAATCAAATAATACATGAACATCTTGAAAGAGGTTCCAAGCAAGAGGCGATACGGTCTCTTAACTGCACCACCCCAGATGCATGAAAGGGTACATGTGTCCTCGAGACCTCTCCTGCTTTGGAAACCCGACAGGACTGAATGGTAGCCTGCGAATCTGAGTGGCCTCACCAGAGGAGACCTTTTCACAGGATGTGATGGACAGGACAGTTAAGAGTGACTGAATGGGATTCTGTAATATGCCAGTAACCTCTGACTTTTAAGACTGTTCGGCTGTAAGGGATCCATGTCTGAAGGGGGGATGGGCTGTAATGTTGTGATTTATAATAATGTGTATTTGGGTTTTGTCCCCATTTCTGGCGGCTACTAACATCCTTGGAATTTACTAAGTGGTTAGAGGGGTAAAGATGTCTCTTGTTATGTTAATGAGCTGACTTTTGGAACTCTCCTAAGGATGGGGGCTGGTTGCCAATGGAGCCAACCAGGGGACTAGAGGGTTGGAATTTTGAGTCCCACTTTGGGAAGAGGCGAGAGCCTGGAGATGAGTTCAATCACCAGTCGTCAGCGATGTGATCAATCGGGCCAATGTACTGAAGCCTTCATAAAAACCCCCAAGGGGCTTAGGACTGAAACTTTAACCTGTGGAATCTGATGTGATCTCTAAGTGGATAGCGTCAGAATTGAGCTGAATCTTAGGGCAGCCAGCTGGTGTCGGAGCATCGCGTGTCGGCGTGGGGGAAGCCCCTCTCGCACACACGCAGTGGGATCAGGCGCGGAGCCCTCCTGCCAGTGGAGCCTGCTACCTTTGTGCCGCAGGATATGGGGCTCATTCGTGGTTTCCGTTCGCTGGGAGCCTTAGCTGTCAGCACTGGGTGGAGTGATGGAAGGGTGGGCACAGCACACGGCAGTGAGGATCCGAGTGAGGAGAGGGAGGGCCCTGGTACGAGCGGGTGGCTCTGGGGCCTTCGCCTTGCCTTCCCCCTCTTCCCCATCACTGCAGGTCTCCGAACCCCGGCAGCTTTTCCTATGGCAACAGGAAAATATTTCCTATGCCTTGTGAGGTACGGTTCTTGGTTCTGCCCCAATCAGGCGTAAAGCCGAGGGGGCTCCAGATCTGTGGCGTCTCGGGGGAAACAAGCCCATTGCCTGGACGGATCTTTGAGTGGGTTATGGATCTGTGCATCGTATGGTCTCTGGAGATACTGGCCAGTTAAAGCACTTCAGCAGCCGTGAGTAATAATGCAGGACCCAGCCCCCAAACTTGTGATGGCCAATCAATTCCCTTTTCTCTTTCCTGCTGCTTAAAATCTTAAAGGTTTGAGTTTCAGTTAAGGTATAGTTTCTGATCTCAGTTTCTACTTTGTGATTTTCTCCTGTTACCCTGATCTTGTGTTGTTACTGGAAAAATTTGTGTGATAATCTTCATGGGCCCCCTCTTCTAAGGCAGCCACTTTGCTTTCCAGAACCCCCCTGGGATTGGGGTTTGCCTCCACGAGTGTGATACTCACTTTGGGAAAAGCCCCTAGACCTCTGGAGTGTTAATGCCAGACACTCGGCAGTAGGTACGCCGTGGCACTGAACAAGGCCCAGGAACCTTCCCCAGAGGTTTGCATTTGCCAAGGAACTGATTACCACCTCAGGGTTTTTAGGAGATGGTGGTTGCAGATGTTTGGGATGATGGGGTTTTGGAATATAGGTGAGGTTCGGTGGGGTGAGGTCTGGAGCCGAAAGCCAAGAAAGAATTCTTGAGACCTCTCTGGTGTAAAAAGGTGGTTTTATTAAAGCACAGGGACAGGACCCGTAGGGAGAAAAAGCTGCCCCAGGTTTGTGAGGTGTGGCTGATACTTGGGAGTTGGGGGAGGTAAGGAAAAGGGAGGTTCCAAAAGGATTTTTGTATGTTAAAGAAGACTCACAGGATACCGGAGGCCTTGCCGTTGTCAAGTTAAGGTGGTTTTTCCTTCTAGTAAGGCATTAACGGTAACATTACACTTTGCCCACTTCCAGTATCTGTCAACGGGCTACAGATTATAAGGACACTTAATTGTATCTACATTGCCTTCTGGAAGCTAGGCCATTGATAGAAATGCTTTGTTCTTGTAAATTGCTAAAGCTTTTGTGAACCGAGGGAGACTCCTGTCTTGCAGGATTGTAATCTCTATGAATTAACTATTTGTTTTTCCTTTAGGGCAGCCAGGAGTGTCTGAGGAATGTCACACATATCCCATGGGGGGGTGGTTGTGGGGTGTCCGCTTCTGCTTTGTCCTCAGCTCGCTTTCTGCTCCCTCATCAGGGACATTTATATTTGTCCATTTTTTAAGTAACATCCCGCCAGGGATTGAAGCCGTGATATCCCGCTGGGTCAGGGGACGCAGAATGACAGCAGGGAGTGAAGCAGTTGACTCCTCACGGAGCTAATGCATACAAAGCAAAGAGCAGCGTGCTGCCCAAGAGCGTAAGAAGCAAGCGATACCTACCGACCATCACTAATAGCAGTACTGTTGTTACTACGGGTCGGCTGGAAGCGGCTGTTGCTAGTATTTTTTATTAGCATTTGACCTCCAGAGGTCACAGGTAGCCATATTAAGCTTCCTCAGCAGCTTGACCCATTTGGTCATGTTTTTCCACCTGCTGCCAATCACCCATTCCTCAAGATGGCCTGTTCCATCAACGTCTGTCTGTCTCCGCAGGGCACCCCTCAGCGACCCCCCTCTTGCCCGACCTGGCCACCCTGCGCCCACTGTTCAGCCTGAGCCTCTACCTAGTGCAGCCGAACCAGCTGACCCTTGCCAGTCCCTGCCCCACCCCTGGCCTGATGCTTACCACAAAGTCTGGCTTTATTTTTCAACATTACAGTGTCTGTTGTCTTGCGCAAAGTGATCTGAGGCCATAGTCCCCCAGGCCCCTTGCTACCTTCAGAGGCATACATCCCAGCATGACAGGCCTTCCCACCTCTTGGTCTCTGCCACTTGAATTTAAAGGGGGCCACCCCTGCTCAGTCCAGGCCTCGCCTCACTTTGCTAAGAGGTATCAACTTTCATGCACTACTCTTCTTCCTTTTCTCGCTTTCAGTAACGGCTTCAGCACCTTGCAGGGAAACCAGCCTCCCATAACTCCCCTGCCCACATTCAGCATCAACCAGATGGAGAAAGTGCTCAGGTCAGCCCTGTCCCAGATCACCTGGACAGTTGCTCTAAATGTTCTTTTGGGTGTGGAGTTCCAGAGTTTTGAGGTGAGAATGGGTAATTCTCATGAGTCTGGATGGGCTGGAGGAAGAGGAATGGTCAAACGTCAGGAGCCATTGGGAAGAGATCTAGGGAAGCAGGAATTTAAGTGAACTTGAATTTGCAAGAGCATTTCTCACTGATTGCCAACAATCAGTAATAGAGAAAGCATTTGGTTGCTATTTGAAATTTTGTTGAAAGCCATTGAAATGGGGGCCATGAATTGGCAGAACCTCATCTCTTAGGGTTCTCCTCTTAAGTGGGGGGTTTCGGTTTCTGGGCACCTACTCAAATGCTCCTCCCAGTTAGCATCACTTGTTAAAAAGCAGATGATGCTATCCCTTATTTGAAGCTCTCCTGTGGCTTCTCATTTTTCTCACAGGGGCAGGCCCAGCCCATACCTATGTCTCCAGCTTCCTGAAGCATGTCCTCTAACCGGTTTTCCTTCTGCTCCTGGGAAGCACTGCTAATAAGCAAACACCTCCAAGACCGGAGCCCTCTGTCACAATATGATCTTGTTCACCACTGTATCCCTGGCAGCCCACGAATGCCTGCTCCCTTGCTGGTGCCTAAAATGTTTTCTGGAATGAATGAATGTAGCCATGTCCACTATCCGTGTCAACAGCTGTGGTCCAGACTTCTCATGGGGGTTTATGCTCATTTTACTAACCAGTAACTGAAGTCTTCAGTACCCATCTCTGGATTCTTTGACCTAAGTCTCAGTAGCCTTTATAGGTGTGTTTTGGTTTCTTTGTTGTATTTTGGTTAACATTCTGACAGTTCTTATAAAACCGAGAAAGGTAGATTGTCCTTTATTCAAACATGTTACATACAGTTCAGTGTGTATGTCTGAGATAGAAGAGCAGCCTCTTGGGATAGAAGAGATAAGACCTGAGGATAAGAAGGTTACCAACACTGCGCTAAGATCTGGAAAACCAGAGCAGAGGGTCCCAGATATGTTCTATTGACTACTGTTCAGCAGGATGAACTATGGGAGTTTTTCCCTTCAAAATCCCCAGAATACAGACCTAGCCAAGTCAGAAGATGTAAGTGGAGACCAGACACCGAGAGTCCACTCTACTTGGGCCAGCAGGATTTGATGGGACAATCCAGGTAAGTAGTTGAGTCAAGAAAAATTCTAGCCAAACAAGGCCTGGGGATGGCCCAGGTCCCTGATGGCCCACACCAGCTGTCGGGTTGGGATTGGGGCTGTGTCCTCATGCAGCTGCAGAGAAGGACGATGGAGCAGGGGTGGCTGGAATGAAACCTCTAGCTGCATTCCACAAAGTCCCCTCCCCCCAACCCTGAGGACCCATAGCATCTCACATTTCCATGTTTTTTTTCAAACTGTGCCTCAGCACCTCATCCTGGTTTCCTTAGACCTACAATCCCCCCACCATCCTTAGACTTAACAGTAGAGAGATGCCAATTAAATGTATCAACGCTAGCTTTATGCCAAGAGGATCCCCAACTTTAAATTTATGAAGCATTAAAACAATGGGGGAAAGTGTAAGCATTTTAGTTATGAAAAGGTTATCCGTGGAAATAGAAACTCCAAAATTAAAATATCAAATGGAATAAAGATCGGTAATGGGGCCAAGTGCAGCAGGCCTGGGTGAGGAGTCAGATGGGTGGAGGTCAGAATCTGGAGACAGCCCCTACTGGCTGGGTTCTGCTATGCACAGCGCATCGCCCCTCGGCCGGCTGTGCCCAGCGCGCTGCAAGACTGAAATACACCCACATGCCCAGGCTGTAAGAACTGTTTCCGAAGTTTCATTTAAAACCACTTTATGAGGATTACAAGGAATTTTTTTTTTTTTCCCTGATGTCGATTTCTAGGACCTTGGGAGCAAACAGCTCACGAAAGGACAGTTACCCCAATGGTTACCTCTGCATTTGTAAAGGTGGGTATGTTTTCTCAAACCATTTGTAATTTGCTGATTTGTAATAATGACCTTGTAAAAATGACTTCATGGGTTTTTCTGTCTATACTATTTTTTTTGTATTAAAGATTTCCTTGTGTAAACAATGAATGTCAAATATGTGTTTTCATGGAGAACACAGGCTCAAGCATACCATACAGCTACGAAAGCTAGAGCCTGAGAACAGAAGACAGCCGTTTTATAAAGAGAACCTGCCTTATGTTAACGAATATTAATTATTTACCTTGTGTTATGAGTGAATAATTATTTGTGTTACGAGTGAGTTATGATGTTGTTTTAGTATAAATGACTTAATTTAGGGACCAAGGAATGCATGAAACATTTTCCATTAGACTTAATGGTAATTATATTTTTTGACAGAGAATTTTATTATCCAGGACCATAAAATCATACAAATACACACAAACACACATATACTTAGATCTTTATTTTAGAAATGTGTTGTACACACACAAACTCTCTCTCCCCTCTTCCTCTCCCCCCTCCCTCTCCCTCTTCTCGTCTGACCTGGAAGCATTTGCACTTACACATTCTTCTCCATGGAATACCATCCAGCTATGGTATAGTTTTACTGCAGTTTATTCAATCATTCTCTTACTGATGGTTATTCACATTGTTTCCTTTTTTGTCCTTATCAAAAAATACAATATACATTGATAAACATATAATCTTAAGTACTGGCACTTTATCTTTTCTTAGGGATAGATTCCCAGGAGTGAGACTCCTGGATTGAAGGGTCTGTGTATCCTTAATGTTAAGAGTCGCACTTTACACATTTCTAACAGCAGTGTATGAGATGAATCTTCTCCCCTGCTTCCTTGCTGGTAGTAGACAAGAGGACAGTTTAGAAAGACAAAGACTTACTGGACTATAGCTGTTCTGGTAAAACCTGTTCAGAAAGTCACTCACATTCATATATAGTCACAGCACATCAATGACATTCAGAAACAAGGAAGAAAAAGGCCAGTTACAGTTGCCAGAGTGACAAATGTAGTGTGCGGTTTATGACTGATCAGGAGAGAAACGGGAATTTGAAATCAATACTAAGATGGTTTGCCTCTGAGTTATGCAAAAAGCTTTTTTTTTTTTTTTTAGGTTAATTGTTAGACTTTTCAGTGATCTCGCCATATGTTTAACTTTTAAGGTGTTTGTGAACCTTGAAAGGCTTAACCTGTGCTAAAGAGTTCCAAAGGGAGATGCTTTTGGTTGATGACCGTGAAACTCAAGGAGTGGAAATGACTCCTTTAAACAGAATGTGGCAAAAACGCATTTCTAAAGTGTTGTGCACATGGACATTTTAAAAAGCAGTAAGACATTTACTGACAGTTTCTTAAATTTTTTCTCTAAAGTCTCTAAAATGTAACATTTGTGAACCACATACACATCCTACTTTTTTATAAGACAATTTGTAAAATATTAAGAGCAACAGGGAAACAAAAATAAAAATACAAGTGGTTTCTGGGTTATACACGATGTTGAAAGACATGCATTTGCACGTAAACAAACAGCCCACTGCAAAACAACTGTGCGCTCGAGACAGGGCCTCTTCAGCTGGGGCATGGCCCACAGTGCTCTTGCACTCTCGAAATCCCCTCTTAATTATGGCTCATTTACATACTGATGTGATTAGCAACCCCAGAAACAAGTTAGAACTTCAACATTGTCTTCTGTTTATTGCAGAGGCAGCGGAATAACGATGGTCAGACCGACTCTCTATGCCAGCGAGCAGTAGAAGAAAACATAGGCCATATGCTAAGGAAACTGTTACCTATTTCATGTGGAATGCATCCTGGCTCGGAAAGGTACTGAAAAACACGCTATGTTTAGCGTGGAAAATCTTATTCGTGCCCCAAGTGTCTCAGAGGACAAGAATTTCAAACTCCCAGTAACTGTTAAATTTACATGTGTAGATCTAAGATAGGATCACACATAACCACTAAATTCCTAAGGTATTGAGCCTTTATGCTGCTGACCAGAACATTTCATTCTTGAGTAATTCAAGATTTTAAAAAGCTCACTGTAATACATCTAAGCATGTCTATTTACAATTGGATATACGCTGATGTGTATTTAGCTGGGCATCGTATCTAACTTTGGGTAGAACACTGTTCTGAGGGGACCCTGTTTTTACATGTTTTTGATGTGATGGATTGTATCTCACTATGAATTTCCATGTTCCTTCAGCACCTTTGTGCGGTTTCTCCCCCATGGTCAAGGGTTGGGGTGGAAGGGTTTTCCACAGTCCTGGCTGGCTCCATTCTCAGGGCTTTTCCCCTAAGTGAACTCTTTGATGGACACTGAGCCGGGATTTCCTGCTGAAGGCCTTCCCACATTCAGAACACTCGTACGGTTTCTCTCCTGTGTGGATTCGCAAATGTAATCTAAGGGTTGACCTCTGGCTGAATGTCTTGCCACATTCAGTACATTCATAGGGTTTCTCCCCGGTATGAGTTCTCATGTGTATAATGAGTTGTGAGTTCTGGATAAAGGACTTCCCACATTCACTGCACTCATAGCGTTTCTCCCCTGTGTGAATTTTCTGATGTATAATGAGGTTGGACTTCTTGAAGAAGGTTTTTGCGCATTCAGTACACTCATAGGGTCGTTCTCCCGTGTGAATTCTCTGGTGGGTAGTAAGTTCAAATTTCTGGGCAAATGTCTTGCCGCAATCACTGCATTCATAGGGCTTCTTCTCCATGTGTGCCCTCTGGTGAACGATGAGGTTTGACTGGTGGGTGAAAGCTTTTCCGCATTCAATACATTCAAAGGGTTTCTCCCCCGTATGAATTCTTTGATGTTTAATGAGGTTTGCTTTATGGGAGAAGGTTTTCTTACATACATTACATTCATAAGGTTTTTCTCCAGTGTGTATTCTCTTGTGACTAATGAGGAGTGACTTAAAGGAGAAAGCTTTGTCACAGTAATTACAAATAAAAGGTTGTACTAAATTTCTAATTTTTTGATGTTTAAAAATGGCTTCTTTAAAGACTTTTCCACTTTTGTTATATTCAGAGTATTCTAATCCATTATGGGTTTTCTCTTGCTTCAGATAGAGGAGTGCTTTTCCAAATCCGTTACACTCGTCAGCTCTCTTTCTTACGTAGCTTCTATTATTATTAAGTAAGTCTGAATTCGATTTCAAAGTTTTTTCATATAAGTCATATTTATAGGGTACGTGCCTTAAAGAAACAAAATCTGTGCTGAGATTAAATGTTTTTCCAAAGAGATTACCTCTCTCCTCAATTGGGGTTTGGTTCTTAAAAATGATAAATGGCCTCGCCTGCTCATCTGGGTTGCTGTGGTCCCTCTCCGTCTGGTCGTCAGCCTTCCACACCTCTAGGCAAGAGCACAGGAAAAACGCTCGGTCAGCCCCTTCTCTATAATGTTAGAGGATATGAAGTCTCTACAAATGTTCTATCGTGAGGCTGCCTCTTCAGTGCGGGATCCAGTCTTCTAGTACTGAAAAGTCTCCAATGCAAATTTTGCCTAGTTCTAAAAAAGTCCTTGGCAAAAAAAATAAGTGGAAATTGACAATGGACACAAGTGGCAGTGCCAGATTACAAAATGGCCCTAAAGGGTAAAAAGAAAAGGACAGCAAACAGGGCACAAATGATGCGGGAAATCTGGCAAGTCTGGGGACAAGACACTGAACAGTTAACATCTTCATCTGCTTGGTTTCTTGGTCTGCTAAGGGAAAAAGGCCTAGGCTGATCTGAGCTTAGCAACTACCCCTTAGGTTCTGAATGACTATGATCTGCTCATCTCTGCCACGCAACTTTTTTTTTTTTTTTTTTTAAGATTTTACTTATTATTTTGACAGACAGAGACACAGCCAGAGAGGGAACACAAGCAGGGGGAGTGGGAGAGGGAGAAGCAGGCTTCCCACCGAGCAGGGAGCCCGATCCCAGAAGCCTGGGATCATGACCTGAGCTGAAGGCAGACGCTTAACGACTGAGCCACCCAGGCGTCCCTGCCATGCAACTTCCAACACTTCTCACTGGTCCACAGAGCTGATCCTATTGTAAAGATCCAAATCTCTAAAGTATGACTTTTGTAAGTGGATGAAACGATCCAGAACTCCTATTTTGTGGGAAATAAAATTAATCCAAGGGTCCAAGATTCTTGAGGCAGAATCCTTTGTTTCACTACTTTTTTCTACTGAAATATCTTATTTTTCTCCTATGTTTAATTTCTTCTCTAAACCAGTCTTGTCCCTACTTTTATTTGAAAGAAGTCTTAAGGATCAGATTCATCCAACCTTGACCTAGACCTTTAATAACCTTTATTTTTATCTGTATGGTCCTGGTCATTCCTGACTCTTGTGATCCTGCAGCCATTTGTGTCTAGGACAAAGACATCGCCCTTACACTAAAAAAAAATTTTGTTGTTGGGTTTTTTTTTCCTTACAGCTATTACATCAATTCCGTGACCTAAAATATCACAGTCACCATTCTGGCAAACTGACAAAACTAATCACAAAGGTTTAAGAAAGGTTAGGCAATGCCAAGTGTGACGGAAAAATACAAAAGTTAAACAGGAAAAAAGTTAAGCAGGGACAGACATAATCAGAGGTATGATTTGGAGATCTGAGGAATACAGGTTATCTGGTCTTGGCCAGCGCTTAAGGTTTGGGGACCTGAAAAATTGCTTCTTAAAAAATATTTTAAAATATTTTGACCCACTCGTGATCCCTAGGGTATTACTTCCCTTGGCTTCTGATTCTCCTTCCCTCTTTTGCCATCTTCCCTAGAAAACTGTGAAAAGGCAATTGTTAATATGCTATCTATACTTCTCTTCCTGTTGCTTGAAAATCACATCTGGTTTGACACTATGAGATAACTTGCTAATGGAACATAGCTCCTAACTGCTTCGACTTCCGAAGTCCCCAAAATAAAGAAAGTAGAACTGCAGAGTCTGTACTCTCTCTCAGCTTTAACAACTGAAGCTGAAGAACAAAACCACTAATTCAGAAACTCAGAATTGCGGGTACGGGAGAAAGTACACAAAAGGTAGGCAAACACTAAGGTACATCCGAAAGAGGTCCTTACCCACTGACAGTAAGTTGCTATAATTCTCCAGCATCACATCCATGTACAGAATCCTCTGTGAGGGGTCCAGCTGCTCCCATTCCTCCTGAGTGAAGTCCACGGTCACATCCGTGAATGAAACGGATCCCTGAAATGGCATATTGCTATTCATTCTGAAATGATCGACATTTGATAATGTAGAAAAGGATATGTGAAAACTTACTCTTACCTTGTTATAAAACAGTCATTCACCAGAACACCAACTATACATCCTCCTGGTTTTATGTTTCCAAACTATCTTTATAACAGTTAAAGCATTTATTTAGATTCCCCTCTACATCTGACACTATCATATGTGACAGGCATCGAAGATTAATCAAACACTGTTCTCTGAAAATGTGTATAGGGAGATAAATGTGTAAATATGCAGTACTGAATGTTACCAGTGTAGAGATGATGCCCACGTAGGTACTTCTGTGGTATCAAACCAGACAGTATTAAAGAGTTAAAGCTTTAAATATATAAAGGCAGAAGAGGAACTCACAATTATAAGACAAAATGTCAGGCATCCGTAGATCTCTCTACCATAGCCAAGCCATCAAAATGGTAGGAGGGCAAAAATAAACAAGTGGAACTACATCAAACTAAAAAGCTTCTGCATAGAAAGAAAACCATCAACAAAATGACAAGGCAACCTACTGAATGGGATAAAATACTTGCAAATCATCTGATAAGGGGTTAATATCCAAAATATACAAAACTCATAGCTCAAAAGCAAAACAATCCAATTAAAAAATGGACAGAATGTATCATATGACCTCACTGATACGAGGAATTCTTATTCGCAGGAAACAAACTGAGGGTTGCTGGAGTGGGATGTGGGGTGGGAGGGATGGGGGGACTGGGGGATGGACACTGGGGAGGGTGTGTGCTCTGGTAAGTGCTGTGAATTGTGCAAGACTGTTGAATCTCAGATCTGCACCTCTGAAACAATTAATGCAATATATGTTAAGAAAAAAAAAAAGAAGGTAGCAGGAGGGGAAAAATGAAGTGGGGGAAATCGGAGGGGTAGACGAACCATGAGAGGTGATGGACTCTGAAAAACAAACTGAGGGTTCTAGAGGGGAGGGGGGTGGGAGGATGGGTTAGCCTGGTGGTGGGTATTGAGGAGGGCACGTTCTGCATGGAGCACTGGGTGTTGTGCACAAACAATGAATCATGGAACACTTCATCTAAAACGAATGATGTAATGTATGGGGATTAACATAAGAATAAAAAAAAAAAAATAGAAGATCTGAACATTTTTCCAAAGCCCTATATATGGCCAACAGGTACATGAGACGATCGCTCAACACATCACTGATCATCACAGAAATGCAAATGAAAACCACAGTGAGGTATCACCTCATACCGGTGAGAATGGCTGTTACCAAAAAGATGAGGAATAAATGTTGGCGAGGATGTGTAGAAAAGGGAACCCTTGTGCACTGTTCGTGGAAAGGTAAACCGGTACAGCCACTAAGGGACACAGTATGAAGCTGCCTCAAAAAGGAGAACTACCACATGATCCAGCAATTCCACCTCTGAGTCTTTGTCTAAAGAAAACACAAACACTAACTTGAAAAGATACATGCAGGGCGCCCGGGTGGCTCAGTGGGTTGTGTCTGCGTTTGGCTCACGTCATGATCTCAGGATGCTGGGATAGAGTCCCACATCAGGCTCCTGCTCAGCAGGGAGTCTGCTTCTCCCTCTACCCATCCCCCCCCACTCGTGCACATCCTCTCACTCATAAAAATAAATCTGAAAAAAAAAAGATATATGCACTCCCCTATATATATATGTTCAATGCAGCCTAATTCACAATAGCCAAGATACAGAAACAACCTACGTGTCCAAGGACTGATGAGTGGAAAAGGAAATGTGGCACATACACACAATGGACTATTATTATTCAGACATAAGAGAAAATCTAGTCACTTGTGACAACATGGATGGATTTTGAGGGTATCATGTTAAGCAACATAAGTCAGAGAAAGACAAATTGTATCATCTCACCTATATGTGGAATCTGAACCCCAAAACAACCAAGCTCATAGATACAGAGAACAAACTGGTTGCTACAGTGGAGGGTGGGGAGTGGGCAAAATGGGGGAAGGGAGGTCAGAAGGTACAAACATCCAAGTATAAGACAAGATGTAGGGGTATAATGTTTCTGCATAGTGACTAGAGTTAACAATAGTGAATTGTATATTCAAAAGTTGCTAAGTTCTCATCACAAGAAAAAAAATTGTAATATGTATGGTGATGGATGTTTACCAGACTCACTGAGGTGATCATTTAGCAATATACACCAGTATTGAATCATTACACTGTACACATGAAACTAATAATCCTGTATGTCATTATACCTCAATAAAAGATTAAGAGAAGATGTTCACAGTCACATTTTACATTAAGAGCCCAAAGCCCCAAAACAAGTGTTCATCAATAGATTTTTTGTGGGGGGCACCTGTTGGCTCAGTCGTTAAGCATCTGCCTTCGGCTCGGGTCAGGATCCCAGGGTCCTGGGATCGAGCCCCCTGTCAGGCTCCCTGCTCAGCGGTAAGCCTGCTTCTCCCTCTCCCGCTCCCCCTGCTTGTGTTCCCTCTCTCACTGTGTCTCTGTCAAATAAATAAAATCTTTAATAAAAAATCGATTTTTTGTGGTATATTAAAACAATTGAGTCCTATAAAGCAATGAAAATGAACTATTTCCAGCTACACAGGGAGGATTTCACAAGAGCTTCAAGAATCCTAATTTCTATTTCTTGGCCTGAATGGTGGCTATATGGATTTTATTATTCTGCATCCACTTGGCTAAATGGTAAGTACAGTAAAAACTTCTGCATGGCTGCTAGACCAATGAGGGGGATAAACCTGTGGCACATTACTTTGACTCAAGTTACAATAATTTGTTTTTTAAACAACGTTTTTTTTTTTAATTTTATTTAAGAGAGAGTGCGTGTGTGCACGAGACCAAGAGAGCACAAGCAGGCGGAGGGGCAGAGGGAGCGGGAGTAGCGGACTCCTGTGGACGCGGGGCTCGATCCCAGGACCCCGGGATCATGACCTGAGCTGAAGGCAGACGCTTAACGACTGACCCACCCAGGCACCCTCAAGTTAAAATAATTTAGAAATGACTCCACCATCAAATGTGAAAATATTCTTTTTTCTCACAGTGCTGTTTTCCATACTCTATACAAACAAAAAAACCCCAAAATTGTTGATAAAACACAATTTTGATACCATAGCATTAAAAGGGATGTCAAACATGACAGACTTCAAAGACTCGTCAAGACAGTATGGTTTCCATCTGGAATGAATTTCGTGTTCTGGGGGGAAAAAGCCTATGGCCATGAGGAGAGGTGTGCCTAGCATATCTGATATCCAGAGCAGACCATTTTTTAATACCCCTTCCTCACCCCTTCAAACTGTTAGGTATTCCTTGACTTATGACAGGGTTACATCCTGATAAACCCATCATAATGTGAAAATATCATAAGTTGGAAAATGCACTTAGTACACCTAACCCCCTGAACATCGTAGCTTCGCCTACCCTAAACATGCTCAGAACACTGACATGAGGGGCACCTGGATGGCTCAGTTGGTTAAGCGACTGCCTTCGGCTCAGGTCATGATCCTGGAGTCCCTGGATCGAGTCCCGCATCGGGCTCCCTGCTCACCGAGGAGCCTGCTTCTTCCTCTAACCCTGCCCCCTCTCATGTACTCTCTCTCTCTCTCTCTCTCATTCTCGCTCTCTCAAATAAATAAATCTTAAAAAATTAAAAAAAAAAAAAACACTGACATTAGCTGACATGTAAGCAAAATCATCTAATTCAAAGCCTATTTATTTTATAATAAAGTGTTCAATATTTCATGTAATTTACTGAATTCTGTACTGAAAATGATAAACAGACTGGTTATACGGGTGCAGAATGGTTTTAAGTGTACTGGTTGTTTACCTTCACAATTGTGTGGCTGACTGGGAGCTGTGGTTTCTGCCGCTGCCCAGCATCACAAGAATATCCTACCACATATTGTTAACTCAAGAAAAGCTCAAAATCCCAAATACAGTTTCTACTGAATGTGTATTGCTTTCACAACATCGTAAAGTAAAAAAAATCATAAGTTAAACAATCTTATGCTGGAGACTGTCTATACATCTAAACTGTCACCTCCCAATTGACTTTTGAGTACAGGAATCTTCTTTAACCTATTCACATTCTCTCTATTCTGAATCTACGTATCTTTCATCTTCAGTTACGACCTTTGATTCCTTAGGCCTTGGTGATTCTTCCCAACTGTCACTGCCCCTGTAAGATTCCATACCTCCAAAGTCTAGATTACACTTGTCACCATCTTTGAAACCCTTGCCCTACTGACTTCCTACCGTCTCCTATTCATAACTCCTAGCCTTGGGAAAAGTAGTAAGAAAAAAATGACATAAAGGTTTGAGTACTACAAATGACCTAGTTATACTGAACAAATTTGCAGGTAGCCTAATCAGCATTATTTCATGACATCTTCTAGAATTCTTTAGCCATTTGGCATGGGAGCAGAGAATACAAGTGGTGGGTCATGCCTGAGATCAAGGCCACGGAGGGTCAACAATCAAAGAGCCAATGTTTTCCCAGTAGTAAATATTTATTCTTATTATCAGATCACTTCTGAAATTAGAGTTCGAAAAACAGGATCATTAGGAAATTTCCAAGGGTCTAAAGTACTAGGGACACAAGCAAAATCATTCTTCACCCTGATAGGCAAGCTAGAGAACCCCTCAAGTCTTTCCTTTGCTTATTGTCTCCACCGAAAACCCAAATTACAAAAGCCTCTTCTTATTTTGTCTCCCCTTATTCTCATCTACCCCACATTCTAAAGCTAACATCATTTTTCTAAAGAATAGCTCTAGTACACGATTACCTTGAGTAGACACAATCATTCATTATCTACTGAAAATTAATAAACAATGACTAGCTCAGTATTCAACATCATTCAACTTTCTTTTCCATCCCTCTTTCCCATGGCTCTCCTCTCTATGCAAAGATCTTTCCAGTAAGATAACATCCTAGATCACTTAGATGTGATCCTTCCATATTTTGAGTCCCTGATC